TTACATAAAATTAAAAAATAAAAGAAAAGAGACAAAAAAGAACAACATTATAATAAAAAAAGGGTACAAAAGAGATATGCTTGAATTTTTTTCATTGTTGTAACTTATACACTTGATACCATAGAAGTAGCACCCAAAGTTATTGTTAGTTTATAATGTTTGCATGACTCTATTTACTTCACACTCACAAATTATATCTACATTCTTTACAACTTCACTATTTTAATTGTAACACTTTATATGATTCTAAATTAGGTATCAAAGACTTTTTTGAGACAAGTGGGAGACTCAATTTTGCACTTTGATGAAATGAATTTTTATATATTTTAGTTTACTATTTTAGGCTTGATTTTACTAATATTTGAATGAGTTGAATGAAATTAGAAAATTTGAAACTTCAGTGCAACTTTTACAAAAGCTTGGGGACTAAATTATAATCAAAATTTGAAATCATAAGACAAATTGAATAAATATAAAGTTTGAGTATCAAAGTGCATGGAAATGGAAAGTAAATTTTACCATTAAAATTTAGAGAATTTTAATTGAAGGCTGGACCACGTTATGATGTCTATCAAGGGGAAGGATCATGCTTGCCTCTTTCTCTAAAGTCCAGGAATCTTTATGAATTTTTCAAAAAGTAAAGAAATAACAATGACACCTTTTGCTTTCTCCAAAGTTCAGAAATTTTTATAAAATTTTCAAAAGTAAAGAAATAATAATACTTCTTTTGCAAAGGCATCTGGGCTATAGGTCCACTGGTATTAGTCAGCTTGTTAGGTGCATTTCTTTCTTTTCTGGACGGGTTTTGAACTCGTATCGTGTCAAAATGTTCAAAAAAAAAAATACTTCTTTTGCAAAGGTGGGAGATTTTTTAGCAACATTAAGACTCATCTTTTTTTGTTTTGTTTTTTTAATAAATTTATAAGAAATCAGATTTGAACCATTACCTTAAAAAAAAAAAAAATACATTTATGCATGATCTGACGTCATTTACCCGAAAACTTAAGTACTATCTGCTTTTTTTGTTTTTATTATAAAAAATGACTGTTGTTTTCATAATTAATATTTTAGGTTCAGTTGTTAAAGTCTTCTGAGCTGTGACGCACACCAAGGAAACTTGAGATCAGTTTGTTGAGGATCTAGAGGTTAAGGCCAGGTTAAGGCCAGGTTGTAGGCTTGAGCCTTGTCGATGATAGGCTTCCTTTAAGATTTTCTTGGTATTGTATGCTGTGACTGATCAAACCTACACTATCTTTGTATTTGTACTGTAACCAAAAAAGAGGGGGGGGGGGG